CAGTCAATTTTGGCATAAAACTTTCAGGCCTCTGCTAAAAAGCTGAAGAGGAATTTCACCTTTCAGCATAACAATTACCCAAACCATACCAACTAAATCAACAAAAGAATGGCTTCACCAGATAAAGATCAAAGTTTTGGAATGGCCCAGCCAGAGCCTGAACCTGAATCCATTTGAAAATCTGTGGGGTGACCTAGAGGGATGTGCACAGGGGATGCCCTCAGACTGACAGATTTGCAACTCTTTTGCAAGGAAAAGTGGGCAAAGACTACTTAGGCAAGATGTACCATTCCGATAGACTCTTACCCCAAATGACTGGATGCTGTCATAAAATCAAAAGGTGATTCAACACCGTATTAGTTTAAGGGTGTGCATATTTAAAAAATTCAGACGTGATTTATCTTTGTCTTTCTATTTTCCTCCTGTAAGCCCTTTCATAGAAGAAAAGGAAGAGTTAACAGAAAGAAACAATAAGTATTATGTTCACATGTGCTAGCAGGAGAAGTGAGCAGGGATGACCTCATACGTGGGCTTCTTTTCCTTCATTGTCTAAACCAGCCTTTCTCATGAAGGGGGCTTCTGATGTGAAAAGGAGCAGCCCCACTTTTTATTTCTTTTGGCAAGAGGTCCTCCCTTAAAGGAGAACTACTGGGAGAGTAAAATATACTCTTCCCATTAGTTTGAGCCAATGTGTGATGCTGCTGTTGCACACCGGCTCTATAGCTCGAGAACTGAGGGATCACAAACTAATGATCACTCAGCTCATGGTTTCTCCCCGCAGAAACCTGTTAGTGCCATTCACTGCTCCCCGCAAGGATTCTCCTTCCTCTCTCTGTTCCTCCTGTGCTCTTAGGAGGAGCAGACAGGGGAGGGGGCGGGCACAGCTGGCTTTGGCTCTAGAGAGGCAGAGCCAGTTGTCATTCAGGCAGCGCAGTAGATCCCGATGATATTGTTGGGATCTTTCCTGATGCAGTGCAGCTCTGTTCTGTCAGCATAGCGGACTTTGTACAAAATGTTCAATGGTGGTAGCAACATTAGCGATAAACTGTTTAAAATTAACTCCATTACAAAAACTAGAGGCCACCACCTAAAATTGGTGGAAAAAAAATTCCAGCACAAGGGGCGAAGGGGGTTCTTCACAGTAAGATCAGTTAGGGTCTGGAACTCACTGCCACAGACAGTGATTTCAGCAAAGAATGTGGAATTGTTCAAGAAACTTTTGGACGATTTCTTAAGGGACCGTAATATACAGGGGTACAGGTACTCCTAGAATGAGATCCTAATAGGTTGGACTTGATGGACTAATGTCTTTATTCAACCGCAAATACTATGTAACTATATACCAATCAACAAAATGAAGTGGAAAAGAGCTGGCACTTGTAGGAATGTTTCTGCAGTTAAGATAATTGAGCAGGCTTTGTAAGGGTGGCTGGGCCAAAAGACGAACAACAGAAAACTACAAATCATTTGGCAATTTTTTTGCACCCACTGCTTCAAATTAAATAATGCAAAGGAGCCAGAAGTATATGGCTGACAATGCCACTGTACTTATAGCAGGGGTTTTCCCAGGGCTGTGTAAGTGTAAAAGGGATAAGTTTAATTAACATGACACTAACTTTCCATAGTCATTTCTGACAATTATTTCTGCTGTCCTTCTTTAACAGTTGGTACATTTAAGCTGTAAATTAGTTTGGGTTAGTGTGAAGCTTTGCAGCTCGTTTTATACATAGAATACGTTTGGAGCACCCAGGATGGTATTTTAGAAGTCCTTCATTTACTATACTTGTTCTACAAATGTTCATTCAGACGTACAGGGAAAATCCCCAGGGCTCACATAAAATGTTTCCTTCTACCTGGTTTACTCTTCAGATATCTTTTAAATGCGTTTGTAGAACAAAGCATTTTTGATGCAGGCAGAATACATTGTACTCAAGGACAAGAATCACAAACCACTCACCTCCAGCAATGACTTGATTGGTTGAATGTCAGCTGAAAGTTATGTAATGGATAGGCTCTTCAAAAGGTTGATATTCCTTTTTGTCCATGTTGTTCAGCGCCAGTATCATTTCCAGCAGTTATAAAGCTGGTGAACTTTATTCCATTATTTTTCCATTATTTTTCCTGAACCTTTTACTAGTAGTTTACACCACCCTAAACCAGGGTTTTTCATTTCTCTCAATGAATAGAAATCAAAGAAGATGCTTTTCTCTTGGCAGTATATATTTTTTTTTTTTTATATGCTTTTTAGTCTCATCCGTTTTCACCAGTATGTTTATTTTTCAAGAAAATTACACTAGGTGCATTTACAGTGTAGCATTTTAACTTTATTATATTGCTGGTATTTACAAATTACTCTATAGTACCTTCTTATTTATATTACTAATTTTTTACTATATATTCTTCACTTTTTATTTATTATATTGGTTATATATTGATCTATTCAATATATAATTGAATAAAAAGTGTACTCTTTGGTAGGAATAATGCTTTGGTCTGGTCTCTGTGATTTCCAAAACCGTGGTAGCAGTCTAACAGTATGTGCGGTACTTCATATGGAAAACTAAGCAACTGTAAAGGAAATTTTCAGACATATTCTCTGTTCTTACTGTAATTATCTAAAAAAGCATGATAATGCTAGTAGTGTACACTTTCATACGTACGTCAGTGTTGGAAAAAGATAGGTCTTTTGACCAAATCCCAATGTCCACCTGCTGGAAAGGTAAAAGTAGAGTTCTAACTAGAGATGTCCCGATACCGATGCTAGTACCGGTATCGGGGCCGATACGGGGCATTTTCAGGAGTACTTGTACTCCTGAAAATGCCCCGATGCCTAGATCAGATACCGGCCGTTTAAATTTTTTTAACTAGCTTCGGCCATTGACCCCCATAGCCCCTCCCCCGGAATACCTCTCCACCAAACGCGGCTCCCTCTCCGCTCTGACCTCTCCGGAAGTGTGACAGCATGGCGGGGGTAAGTGTTGTGTGGACAGTCTCTTCTCCCTGCTGGTGCTGACTGCAGAGCTCTGTGTCCCTTTCACAGACCGCTGTAGCCAGCACGAGAAGGCAGAAGAGACTGCAGAAATCCCCCGCTGCCCCCCTCCCCCCTGTATCTTAGCTGCTGCTGCTCCTCCGTGTCCTGTCCTTTTCAACTTTATGAATCGGTTTCCTTTTGGTGATATATCTAAGTGTGAGATGCCCGTGCTCCTTGCTGCACAGCAGTTTTCACTCTCATTGTAAGAAGAGAATGTCCGTTCACTGTACTCACGGGGGGGGGGTGTGAGAAGCTGTAAATCTTGCCTTCACACAGAACAGACATTCTCTTCTTTCATTGAGAGGGAAAACTTCTGTGTACGTCTGGTGAGAGCATTATTAAACACATAAGGAGCATGGACATCTTACACTGAGATATACCACCAAAAGCAAACAGTTTCATCAAGTGGAAAAGAAATGGACACTTGTAACAATAGACAGCCTGCTATTGGATATTTTTAATTGCAATAGCCAATACTAAAGGTCTAAAAGACCCCTAATGTCACCTTAAAGAGAACCTGTCACCTCCAATGCACACAGCACTGGTGAGAAACTGCCCTAAAATCATTAGTCTGTATTGTTTTAGAAAAAATGTCACATGTCCCTTTAAGAAAAAGTATCGGTAATTGGTATCGGCAAGTACATGAGGGACAGTACTTGGTCTTGAAAAAGTGGTATCGGACATCCCTAGTTCTAACAGTTTATTGTAAGCCTAATCCTCTTCTGGGAGCCCTGCTTTTATCCAATCTCAAACACATCATTGAGGTCTGCTATGACTGCGGCTGTCAATAACAGTGTCTTGTTTCTTATCTTAGATGCTGCATCCATTAGTTTGGATGTGTTCAATGAAAGTAATGCTGTCAGAGTACTAGGAGCCAAGCACGCAGGGTGCCAAACAGTACAACAGCAAAAAGATTCCCAGCACACTCACCAGCCAGCATGCAAAAAAAATCCTGTCTAACCACTAAGGTTAAAAACAGGTTTTAGATGCATGTCTTCTGCAGAATATGTGAAAGCCGCACTGCCTCGCCAAGGCCCCTCTGTGTGGTGCGGTCCTAACTCTAACCTATAAGAGTCTCCATCTTGGAGCATATGTAGCAAAAGATAAATTGGGTGCAGGTTTGCCAGGAGGCAGCCCAACCTCCTTAAAGGCACAGGGACATGCAAGTGACCCCGCACATCACAACGGCAGCTGAGACCTCTAGTGGGTCACTGCACCAAATCAGACAAAACAAATGGCAAACACACTCATCAACTCATAACCAGCTTTAAAGTAAGGTGCACATGGAAGGGCTTTATACAGTACAACAGCAAAAAGTTTCCCAGCACACTCACCAGCCAGCATGCAAAAAAAACCAACCTGTCTAACTGCTAAGGTTAAAAATAGAGGTTTTAGATACACGTCTTCTGCAGAATATGTGAAAGCCGCACTGCCTCGTCAAGGCCTCACATATTCTGCAGAAGACGTGTACCTAAAACTAAGGATGGGTTCGGGCGTGTTCGCAGCTCCACGTACCGAGCCCGCCAGGAAGCTGACAGAGCGCAGCACCAATCACGGGTACTGAGACATGTTCCCAGTCCGCAGCTGCAGAGATCGGTAAATGTCTCAGTGCCTGTGATTGGCGCTGCGCACTGTCAGCTTCCTGGCCCCGAGCCCATCCTTACCTAAAACCTCTGTTTTTAACCTTAGCAGTTAGGTTTTTTTTTTGCATGCTGGCTGGTGAGTATGCTGGGAAACATTTTGCTGTTGTACTGTATAAAGCCCTTCCATGTGCACCTTACTTTAAAGCTGGTTATGGGTTGATGAGTGCGTTTGCTATTTGTTTTGCTAGGGTGCCAAACATGCCTGACAGAATGAAGTTTAACACCCATTTGTATAGCTCTTTTTACTAAACTAAGGTCATGTGTTTTTGTATGTTTTTAGATGAGATTATTCGTTACCCTAATTGTTAATTATTTCTAACACACAGGGCCTACAAGACAATTGAAGATGATGATTTAAAATTCCCTCTAATATACGGAGAAGGAAAAAAGGTGAGGTTGTCTTTCTGTTTGGACAGACCATATTATTGTACATTTAAAAATGAAAATGGTTTACAATCTGTTGGTTTTATTTTTACAATGTTTTTTTCTGCTTAATTATACATAGTGCAATTAGTGATCATACATAGTACCTCCAAAACATTTGAATTATTCGCTTTGTAAAGGCTTTAGCCCTTGTGCCATCATTCATGTCACAAAATAACTGCAGCAAACCTTAAAACCATTTAAGAGCAAACAAAAGCAGTGTTATGGATTACCATGTGCTATGTGTTGTCCTATAGGAATCTCAGGAGTGAATGTACTTCACTATCCTTTACAAAGGATGTACCCTTTACCCTGTGTAGGCTTATTGTGCTCTTAATTAGGGATTTATTACATGGAGGGCTGAATTATTGTACATATACTGATATTTATTCACCTAATGTTTTCCTGCCCAATGTGATGGGCTCATTTAATGCATTTGAATGTGAAATATTATTCAGCATTATTATTATTTTATTCATGGATAAACAAACCAGCCCCTAGGCCAGTGGTTCTCAACCTTTCAAGGGCCGGGACCCCTTGGTAACATTTGCCAAGTTGTGGTGACCCCCCCAACCTTAAAATTTAGGAATGACGCGGCTGCTGCAGCGTGGCGGGAGAACTGACACTGCTGCACTAGCAGAGGGCCGAGGAGGACTCTCACCTAGCACAGCAGAAATCACACAGCAACCCGCAGCTTGAGAACCGTCGGAATAAAAAAAAAAAACATCCTAGGAATGCATAGCTAGATTCCTATTGGCTATTTCACTTTGCAATAGCCAATAGCAAACTAGCTATTGCACCCACCCTCTGCTGCTGTCAATCAGTAGTGGGGACCTGATGGAGAACTTGCAAAGTGAAATAGCCATTAGGAATCTAGCTATGCATTCCTAGGGTGGTGGGGGGTTTTTTCTGACTTACGGCGGCCTACGGCCCCCAATGTCAGACAAAAAAGGTTTACTTTGCTCGGGAGAAAGTGTTTCTCTCCCAGGCGGCCGGGAGCCGCTATCTAATAGCAGGAGACTCCCGGGCGACCCCTGGCAAATCGTCATTCGACCGCGGAAGGGGTCCAGACCCACAGGTTGAGAACCGCTGCCCTAGGCTATGACAGGCGTCCCTACAGCCACCAGACTTGGTAACTTTTTTTTAACAAATATGCAGAATGCATATCCCAGAGATACTTATTTGACTTTTTATTCCATCTTCATAACTAATTTCTCCAAGATATTTTACTTATTTTTAGGAGGTGTTCCTTCTTTCATTAACACAGCCAAATCTAGATTGTATGGTGCGCACTCAGTATAGTGTTGTGTATATATTTAATAAAATATGTAACACACTGTTCAGAAAGAATATCTCCTTTTGGTTTTGTCACAGTTAACTATTTTCATCTAAATTTCTGATTTATTTGAGCAGTAAAGGAAAACATGTCATTTTCTTTAAATAATTGAGATTATATGTAAAAATGAATTGTTTTTGTTTTTTTTTCAAATTCTTTATTGACTGAAGAAAACATCAGATATAACAATACAATGTGGTGGAAGGCAAAATCAGTGTTATATAATCTTAAAGACAAGTTGAGAAACGGTCTACACCTTGTCAACGCAAGCATATCCTGTCTAAAAAAAAACACATCGGGAATACGTGGAAACAGCTCAGTACAGTAGTTGAATCAACAATACTTTAGACTCAGTGATGACATTCTGCACGTTGAAGCTCTGTGACTAAGTACTATATCCTACATCGGATAGTGTCTCAGGGTCGAGGTGAAAGTGAAAAAGGAAAGAAAGTGGAAAAGGTAGAAAGGAGTCAAGGTCCCGGCCGGAACCCGCGACGCCAGGCGGCGTCCAAGGTCGTATCGGGGTTATTCCCCTACGGGCCACCCCCGATGTCTTCAAGTCAGACCGGCTGACGAGGACCCGGTCAGACCAGTCTCTGCAGGTTGATCAAGGCCTTGGGCCTTAACCATGGCCACCAGGTGGCATTGAAACGGGCCTCCGTATTTTTCAGAGTGGCCGTTAGGTCCTCTAGCAGATAAGTATCTTGTACTTTAGCGAGCCACATCTGGACAGTAGGTGGATGAGGGTCTCTCCATTTCATGGGGATGCACGCTCGAGCAGCATTCAACAGGTGGTGTGTCAGAGATCGTTTATACCTAGAGATCGAGTGTTTAGTCAAATGAAGTAGGCATGCGGCAGGGTCTTCCCGGAGGTCTGCTCCGGTCAAGGTCTCAATCAACTCCAGCACCTGTCTCCAGAAGACTCTCAGGTCAGGGCAGGACCAGAAAATGTGTAGCATCGTACCCTGAGCCCCCTCACATCTCCAACACAGCTCCGGAATAAAGCTATTCATTCTATGGAGCAACCATGGCACTCTGTACCACCGAGTCAGAATCTTGTATCCCGACTCTTGGTAACGATTCGCTAGCGAGGCCTTAAAAGTCAACGCTAGGATGGTGTCCCTCTGTTGCTCCGAAAAAGTACAGTGGAGCTCCGATTCCCAGCCGCGTAGGAAATGCAGCGGTACCTCCCCAGAGGAGGCCTGCAATAGCTTGTACAGTTGAGAAACAGCATGTCGGGGCGGGAGCTGGGCTAGGCACATCTGTTCGAAGTCCGTCAAAGGTCTGTCCAGGAGGGACGCGTTAGGTATCGCCCGAAGGAAGTGTCTCAGGGAGAGAGAGCTCTAGAAGTCCACCGGGGGATCTGTGAGGGATTGTATTTCTGCGGTCTGGAGCCAGCCTCTTGTTCCCCTGAAGTCTCGAAGCCGGAATTTGGAGGCACGAAGGAGGACTCGGCATAGTCTGCCATTGTCAACTCCTAGCGAGAAATCAGGATCCCCAAGAACCGGCGTCAGAGGCGACGGGGATGGGGACAAGGAGGTCGTCCCCAGGGCCCTCCGGGATACTCTTAGTGTCGTGTATATGAGCGGGTGAGATTTGACTTCCTGTGGTATGGCAGAGGAGAGCCAAGGGAGACCCTCTATCGGGAACCGGTATACGCTCCGTTCCAGTGCCACCCATGTCTTACCCTCCCTGCATAGACACCACTCAAGGAGCCTGGATAAGTGTATAGCCCTGTAGTACATTGACATGTCTGGCAGCCCTACTCCTCCCCGGGATCTGGGCAATGATAGGATGCGTCTGCTCAGTCTGGGGGTCTTACCACCCCAGATAAATGATATCATTTCCCCATGTAGGGTCTTGAAGAATTGGGTCGGTAGACAAATGGGAAGCGCCTGCATAAGGTACAAGACCCTCGGCAGGATGTTCATTTTTACCGCGGCGCAGCGACCCAGCCAAGAGACATGGAGGGGGCGCCATGCTTTGAAGTCCAGGGCTATTTTTTTAAGTAGTGGAAGGAAATTGGCAGAGTAGACTCCCTCCAGGTCTCTGGGGATCAATGTTCCCAAAGACTGGATATGGTGATCCTCCCAACGAAAAGAGAAGCGAGACTGCAGGGGAGTGATGGCCGCCAAAGGTACCGTAATATTGAGGGCGGCTGACTTCTGGACGTTAAGCTTAAAGTTAGAGAGCTGGCCATACACGGAAAAAGCCCGGAGCAGTTGAGGAATGGATATCTCCGGTTTCGTGAGGTAGAAAAGGAGATCGTCAGCATATGCAGCCAGCTTGTGGGTCCCCGAGGGAGAGTCCAACCCCGTGATATCTACAGTTTTCCGAACAGTTTGAAGGAATGGTTCTAACGTGAGAGCGAAAATCAGGGGGGACAAAGGGCAGCCCTGTCTGGTCCCGTTGGTGAGGGGAAAGACCTGCGATCTGGTTTCGTTCACACGGACCGCAGCCGTCGGTGCCGAGTACAATGCCATGATCCATGCCATCATGTTCCTCCCCAGACCAACATGCCGGAGGACCCCTGACATAAAATCCCAGCTCACTCTGTCAAAAGCCTTTTCTGCGTCCGTAGAGAGCAGGATCATCGGGGTCCCCGACATCCTGGCCCGGTGAACAACACTGAGGGTTCTGGTAGTTATTGTCCCTAGCTTCACGTTCCGGTATAAAGCCCACCTGGTCTGGGTGAACCAGATGGGGAAGGAAGGGCAGCAATCTGTTGGCCAGAATTTTGGCGAACAGCTTCAAATCTGCGTTGAGGAGAGCTATTGGCCGATAGTTATGACAAAGAGTAAGGTCTTTGTCAGGCTTGGGAATTACCGTGATCCAGGCACGCAGAGTGTCTGCTGGGGGGGAGGACCCCGTCAGGATGGCATTATACGCTCTCAGAAAGGGATCTATGAAGAAGTCAGTGAAGGTCTTATAGTAAGGGAGCGTGAAGCCATCAGGCCCTGGTGCCTTACCCGAGCGAGCGGTCTTCAGAGCCAGCAAGAGTTCCTCTGGCCTGATCGGGATTTCTATGCTGTCCCTCTCCTCAGCCGTCATGGAGGGCATCCCAGAGGCCTCAATATATTGTGCGATAGAGTCCAGTGGTGACCGATCTTGGGGTGACAGGGGGGAGGGCCCTAGGTTGTACAGGGACTCATAGTACAGCCTGCATTCGGCCGCAATTTCTGCAGACAGCACCGCCCTACGGCCTGAGGAGGTGACAACATGCGAGATGTGGGTCTGTCCTTGAGATCCTCTGAGAGCGTTGGCCAACAGTCTCCCCGGTTTGTCCGCGTATTCATAAAAAGTCCTACGTCCCCTGAGCAATCTACCCTTGACCCTCTGGAGGACTAGAGCGTTCAGCTCGGTCCGTACTGCAAGTAATTCCTCCCCCAACGCCACCGCCTGGGAGCGCTTGTGTTGAGTCTCCAACACTCGGAGACGCTGCAGAAGGAATGAAATTCGGGAGGTCAGTTCCCTCTTCCTTCGCGCTCCATGCTTGATAAGGACCCCTCTCATTACACACTTGTGGACCTCCCAAATCATAAACGAAGGGGCCGAGGTGGGGGCGTTGGAGGCAAAAAAGGACCGCAGCTCAACACCCAAGTCAGATTTGACCACTGGGTCTCGTAAAAGCGACTCATTAAGTCTCCACGAGGGGCAGGGGGTTCTTGGGGCCAGAAGGTCAAGGGTCAGATGCAAAGGGGCATGGTCGACAGCAAAATGGTGTCTATTGATGCGCCCTTCACCAGTGGAAGGTCTTTGTGTTGTACGAAGAGGTAATCTAGTCTGGAGTATCTTTGGTGGGGGGCAGAGAAGTAAGTAAAATCCTTCCCGTTGGGGTGGCAGAACCTCCAGGTATCCACTAGATGGAGGAGGTGTAACTCAGCCTTCAGTTTTCTCAGATATCTGTATGGTAGATGGGAAGTCCCCGTGGAGACATCCCATAGCGGGTCTAGCGGGAAGTTGAGGTCCCCACCCATAATCAGCACCCCTTCCGTGAATTCCAGGAGTCGAGGTACCAGATCCCGGACAAACCCTAGTTGGTCAGTGTTAGGAAAGTATACGTTGGCAAATGTGACTTGAGTGTCCCCCAGTCGCCCCTTAAGGAGAATGAAACGTCCATTAACGTCTAATAGCTGACTCCCAAATGTCCATGGGACGTCCCGGGACAGTAGTATGCTCACACCCTTAGATTTAGACAGGGGAGAGGAGCAGTGGTAGGCCCACGGAAAGTCTCTGTTGTGGAGTCTAGGGATCTGATCGCCCCGGAAGTGGGTTTCCTGTATAAATGCCACCTGGGTGTGCGAGCGTCTGAAATCAGACAGGAGTCTAGACCTCCTCTCCGGGAGGTTCAGCCCTCGAGCATTCAGAAAGGTCACCCGAAAGGGTCCCATAGCGCCAGCAGGAGGACGCGGGAACCGGCTCAGGACCCCGGAAGAGAAAGCAAGGTGGGGGAGAAGGGCAAAGAGAGGGGTAGCAGTGCAGGACAGGGGGAGAAGGAGCGAAAGGGAAGGCAGAAGAGCAGTGTAAGGTCACGAGACACAGGTTATGCAATATGAGTTACAGTACTAGTCAGGTAATCTAAATTTCAAAAGAAGAACCCGTTCCAAAGCGGACGGGGTAATCCTACGTGGGGGTGGGTACCAGCGAAGGTAGCAAAAAGAACAATAACAATAAACCAATATGCAGCTAGGAGATATTCCCCTTGATCTAGGATTCAGCGAACAATAACCCAAAGCTTGCACGCAGTGGTATACTGCCCGGGAGTTGAAATAAAGACAGGGTACCCCCAGGACCAAAAAACAGAAAGTGGCGGGTGATCCTGCTATACAGCCTCCCTAGGAGTGGATAAGTGCCTACTGTTCAACCCCCCTGTGTGAGGTAAATAAACAGTGTACTTGCGTTTCGGCGGGGGGAGAAGGCATCCCCATGCGGACCGTCTGACCCCCGTCCCCCTCAAGAAGGGAGGCGGGGAGGAATCCCAATCAGCGGGCCCCACGGGGTAAACCGGACCACGCCGGGAGCACGAGTAGGGCATCCATTTTTAACTGAGAATAAACAAAATAAAATAAAACAGTAACAAGGAGCGGATAGGCGCATATCTAACAACCCTGTGTGAGGTAAATAAACAGTGTACTTGCGTTTCGGCGGGGGGAGAAGGCATCCCCATGCGGACCGTCTGACCCCCGTCCCCCTCAAGAAGGGAGGCGAGGAGGAATCCCAATCAGCGGGCCTCACGGTGGAAGCCGATCCACCCCGAAAGCACGAGTAGGGCAGCCATTTCCATCTGAGAATAAACAAAACAGAGTAAATCAGTACCAGTCAAACAGTATAATAATGCCATTGAAACCAGAACCCCAACCACCATAATCTATAAGGCCCATCCTTCCCCCCAGCAGAGAGAGAAAGGACCATGGTGTGCGAGAATGGGGGATCCCAGGGCTCCAACCCCTGTACGCCTCGCCCTCGGGATGTAGGCTTGATGGTAAGTTCAAAACAGGAACGGATCGGAGAATGAGTCAATGGGCCAGCTGGGGCCAGGACATCCGCAACGACAACAAGGCCCAGACATCAACGGACCAGTAGACGGGAGAGGAGGAGATCATGGCTCGCTCCAAGTCGGATCCGGGCGTGGAGAAGGCCTTCGGGCAGGGCGTCTGCCACTACGCATGGGCCCTAGTGTGGGCCGCGGCAAAGGACCCGTCGAGGGTGAAGGCCCGTAGGGGAAATCCAGCCAGCTCGGGATTGCTATAGCCTCTGCCTCCAAAAAAGCGAACAGGTCAGGAAGTTGATCCGGGGTATGGAGGGCGAAGGAGCCGCCATTCCGCTGAACCAAGAGATGGAAGGGGTGGCCCCAGCGGGATGTAGCACCTACTGCACGAATCAAATCTAGAAGCGGCTTCAAGACCCGTCTCATCCGCAGCGTGTGGCGAGAAAGGTCTGGCATCACCTGAATTTGCGCTCCGTCAAACTCGACCGTCCCTCTATTCCAGGCCGCTAGCAGCACTGCTTCCTTGACGGTGTAGAAATGCACTCTGCAAAGTACGTCACGGGGGGTGCTAGGCGTCTAGGTATGGTAAGTTTGGAACCTGTGAACCCTGTCTAGTTCGAGCGGGTCGGTAGGAGGCTTCACCAATAGTAGGTTCAGGATCGCGGTCACGGTGGAGCGAAGGTCTGTGCCCGAGGACGCCTCCGGTATACCTTTCAGCCGTATGTTGTTTCGGCGGCTCCGGTTTTCCGCGCCATCTTGATGGAGGAACAGCGTGGTCAGCCGCTGTTGTGTCTCGCCCCTGGCGGTCTCCAGAGCGGCGATACGTTGGGACAGCTGAGACGTGGTCTGCTCCACCGTGGTGACCTGCGTCTCCAGAGATGTGCCCCTCTGTTTCACCTCGTGAACTTCCTGTCTCAAGGCAGCCACGATTTTCGAGGCCATGTCGTCCAGGTCTCGTTTCGTCGGGAGCAGCGGGAGGTATTGCCGCCAATCGTCGAGCTCTCTCCCACTCGGGGTCGGCACAGGCCCGGAGTCCTCCTGGTCAAGGGGGGTGTCCTCGTCCGGGATACGGGGCGTCAGGATGGGGGACGCTGGGCCCTCCGCCCGGGAAATCTCCGCCGCAGCTGCTGAGGGGGTTGGTGTCTGCCCTGCCCGTCCCAGAGTGTTGCAGGAATAGGCCGCACGTGTCTGCGCCATAATGGTAGGCCCGGAAGGATCCCCAGTCAACCGCGTTTTGTAGAAAAAGCGCTGGATATCGGAGCCCGGAGTCACCGCAGAGGAACCGGGTGTCCGTTTAGATTGCGACATGCAAGAAGGGTGAGAAAATATAGTCCACAGAGTCCATAAACCTAGCTAGGGGAACAGAGCTCCAGCAACGTGCGACTTCACTCGGCCATGTCTTAGCCACGCCCCCCGTAAAAATGAATTGTTAATGGGACAGGTGACCTTAAAATAAAATGTATTTTATAAAAGAGCTACTGGCATGTACTTAAATATCAACTACAGTATTTCAGAGAGCAAATATTAATATTCCCTTTGTTTTTGTATTGTACTAAAGTAATCTTGGTGGCTCAGTGCAATTACTCTGCTTCTCTCTTAACAACTGCTGAGATAAATTATCAGCCACATTTATTTATTATTTATTTCAGGTGTTTATATAGCGCCGACAATTTACGCAGCACTTTACATAGTGCACATTTACTGTACGTTAGTCCTTGCCTTCAAGGAGCTTACAATCTAAGGTCCCTATCTCTAGCCACATAGTGATTTTTGTTAGCACTGAGTCAGATGACTCATAGACTTGCATTGTGAGAAAAAGCAGTAAAGCACGACCACTGTGTAGAACTGCAAAGCAGGACACAGAGCCTACAGATGTAATGATCGAGGATGAAAGCCCCTATGTACATATATAACTACAAATGATATTTTTCAAGCTATTAGGGGTCTATTTACACCATTCTGGTCTGGTGCGTTGCGTTAATGTGCCTTGCATTAAGGCAGATTATTAATTTAAATGGGCTTGCCATACACTGGAATGTGCTAAAAACACACCTGCACCTTTTCTCACATCGCAGCATACCACCGTGCACGATAGTGTCTTACTAAGTGCTGCTGTGCTCGGCAACACAGGTTAATTTGAAAGGTTCATCGGGGTGCCATTCAGAATGAATGGCACTGCAGCAGACAACATGCGTTACCTTAACCAGGGGCGTATCTGCCGCGAGGCAAACAAGGCGTTTGCCTGGAGCGGCAGATTCCCTGAGAGCGGCACTTGCTGTGGTTCTGGTTCTCTCCCCTTGATAAATTTACAATTTAAAATGATTTACATCAAGCTGATTATGTATATCTATTTTTTTTAAATGTGGTTTTGGATATATTTTTTTGCTTTATTATTATATGGACTAAAAAATAAAGCATACAGGATATGTCAGGGGTGGCCAATTCCAGCCCTCAAGCTGTTGGGCCAGAGTTGGTTTATAGCTGGTGTATGTTATATTGTATGTAAATATTTTGTGTTTTATATACAACCAGCAGATTGAGCTCACAGCTCCTTTTTAACGTGTTTTCCTGTCTATCCTAATGTCCCCTGCTGAAAATGAGCCTTTTGTTTACAGAGCTCAGTAGATTAACCTGATATTTACATTCTCAAGATTATAGGCTC